ATCGAGACTTACGTCAACGTCTTCGATGGCGGTAGTTGAACATTTCAAGTAAATATTATGGAGACATGGCCTATGCGATACCATAGTTTCTGGTGGAGGGCCGCAATACACCTCTGATGTATTCAAACAGTTTTGTATGAAATACGGAACCGAACATGTGACGAGTAGTCCACGATATCCCTTAGGGAATTCGGAAGCAGAACGCGCTGTTCAGACTGTAAAACGCTTATTGTCTAAATTCGACGACCCTTATGAAGCGTGCGACTCCTTTACCGCACAATGGTTTAAGTCAAATGTTAGTTGGTAGGCAGATTAAAACAACTCTTCCACAAGCACCACAAAATCTGCTACCAAGCAATATTGACTATAAAGTACTTCAAAATAGAGAAAAAACATACCGTGCTAATGCTAAGCAAAGTTATGACAGAAAAAGAGTTGCACAACATTTGCCTTCATTAAAGGAAGTGGACGGAGTACATGTAAAAGACATGAATATAGAAGGTAGAGTAATTAAGAAAGCGTCGCGACCACGATCTTTTATAGTTGAGACACCGAAATCTACCATTGAAAGAAATCGCCGTAGTTTACTTAAGTTGCAAAAACTGGTTGACTTCGATTAAGAAATAGATATTCCTTTCAATGAAAATTATAAGACCTCAAAAACTTTATTATCTACAGTACCAACTAATTCAGTGTCTAATTATGTAGATAAGCAAGTGTCTCAAAATCAGAGTGCAGGTGTAATTACTATATCAGGCAGGCTGAGTAAACCCCCAGATAGATTAAATTTGTAATGTTGTTCTCTATTTAACAAATGATTACATGTTGACAGGATTTAATGATACTCCAATAATGTGTGTTTAAAAACATAATTGATATTTAAATTACATTTCACATTTTCACAAAGAGTTTAAATTTGTTGTAAATGAAATATTTGAGGTAATAAATGAAGGAACTTACAAGCTTTAGTAAGGGGGTGTTGTGTAATATGATATACTCTCTAGTCACGTGGGTTTAACTCAGTGAAGATTTGTCTCTCTGATAACAGTTTGATAGAATGCTTTAACATGTAAACATATGCTCTAGTACTTAGAAAAAAACTTATATATATTTAACAGTGTTATGGTAATAACTGACCATCGGTCATTCAGACAATAGTACAGCATTAAACAGTTTTTTTTTTACAAATGCGCTAAGGCCGACAGATTTTCCTAATGACTTTTGCTTTCTGTGTAAATTTATATAAGTAAAACCATCAAAAAACATTAAATCATTTACATCAAGCTTGGATTCTGACACAAAGAAAATATCATACTTATGAACAAGTGAAATAAATTAAGGGTAATTTGAACGTCTTTTAAGACCACATACATTTAAAGAACTTACTTACAGCTCGTTAGATACAAAGTTATTTTGTAAGTTCCTGGCACTATATGTAAGCTGGGCATCTCTCCCATTGCCCTAAGTGTCATTTTATGATAGGAGCTTATTCTTGTACGTTGGAGTTACAGATTGTGTATTGGGTGGAGTAGGCCTTTGTCTTCTTCTGTTTTGGAACTCTAGCATTGTTTGGCTGTATTGATCAACGTGTTTTTTTATACAATTTGTCATAGAACAAGTTGAACAGTTATCTTTCAGAGAATCAAATTTTCACCAATTGATTTATGTTGGACGAACTACGGGCCGCCATAAGTCAAATAACGTAAATAATCATATGAATATATCAAGTAAAAATTAAGAAATACCTGCTTTCATAGTCCAGTTTTTGATTTTCTTTCTCAGTTTTCAGGAGTTTGTTGTTTTGTTCTTCCTTAAATGACATATAACGTTTCTTTATTTAACATTGTTGATACTAATTGAAGTAAGCGACACTAGTAAGGCATTAAGGTATGAAATGACATTCTAGATAATATGTGAGGTTTGTTAATAGTCCGACATACGCACACTTCATTTCTGAATTTATGCTTTTTATATTAAAATGTCTAATTTTCATGAAATGATGTTTCTTATTGCAAATTCACAGACATAAACTTGTTAAAAGTTTTAAGGCATGGATGATAGACTTTTGTTTTACATGGCTTATCCATGAATTTGTGCGACAGCCCTAATTATATGGAAAGTAAAGATAATTGACACCTTCAAACATTGGCCTTAATCTTTTATCCCATGAGCATATTGCGAAAAATGGCCGTTTTCATTGAAAAGCCTCCTGTAACAGGTTCAAACTGCTATGAAACTATGAAAAATGCTTCAATACTGATGAAACTTGGCACAAATATTGACTACACCATAGCCTCTGTAACAACATGCTCAATCGTAAATTTCCTGTTACCATGGCAACGGGGGACGTCTCAAAATTGCCAAAAATCACTATTTTGCATTGTTTTTTTTTTCATCAAAACTGATTTCAAAGTGCTGCCAACTTCTCAATGAATTGAGATAGAGTAAAAGTTTTTTCAGCGTCGGTTACTAGTTACCCTAAGATTGACCTGAGGCCATTTTTTAGCCTGTCACATGTCCAAAATTTTCTTGGCGATGAGGGGGACTTCGCCCCCTTCAAACCCCCCAAACAGAAGGGGCGACATATCCCCCTTCTGAAAAAGTGGTCACTTTTTTTGACAACATTTCTCAAACGAAAACCAGTGTTTGGGGCCTAAATAGGGCATTTTTACACTGTTTGAGGCCTCAAAAGGGGGGGGGGGGCAAAAAGCCTTCGAAACACGCTTATATAAGGGAAAAGGTTAACAAAAAATGGTGAAAACCCTTGGAATACCAAAAACTAGATTTTCCATATTAACACGTGCCCTAACACTGAATTTTGGGGAAAAATTGTTGTTTTTTGACATTTTTTTATATTTTTAATTAACCTTTTACCCCATGAGCAAATTGCGAAAAATGGTCGTTTTCATTGAAAAGCCTCCTGTAACAAGTTCAAACTGCTATGAAACTATGATAAATGCTTCAATACTAATGAAACTTGGCACAAATGTTGACTACACCATAGCCTCTGTAACAGCATGCTCAATCGTAAATTTCCTGTTACCATGGCAACGGGGGGACGTTTCAAAATTGCCAAAAATCACTATTTTGCATTGTTTTTTTCCATCAAAACTGATTTCAAAGTGCTGCAACTTCTCAATGAATTGAGATAGAGTAAAAGGCTTTTCAGCGTCGGTTACTAGTTACCCTATGATCGACCTGAGGCCATTTTTTAGCCTGTCACATGTCCAAAATTTTCTTGGCGATGAGGGGGACTCCTCCTACCTTCAAACCTCCCAAACAGAAGGGGGCACATTCTGGCAACCCCCTGATGTAACATTTGGATGGGGGCGGCGCCGAAAAAGTGGTCACTTTTTTGCCAACATTTCTTAAACGAAAACCAGTGTTTGGGGCCTAAATAGGGCACTTTTTCACTGTTTGAGGCCTCAAAAGGGGGGGGGGCAAAAAGTCGTCGAAACACGCTTATATGAGGGAAAAGGTTAAAGATATCGGCCACACTTCGAAAAAACCCAGATACATCGGTATGATTTTATTTCAGCAAAAATGAAATAGCTTAAAACATTTTATATACAGTGACTTTAAAATATTGACTAAAGTTGAAGATATTCAATCTGTAAAACTTCGCATGTTCAAACTCCAGTCTGTATTATATACCTATGTACATGTTTTCTTTAAAGAATTCATGTTAACATTTTGCCAGCTCCCTAAAGGCATTATCTACTAATTATCCTTCACGACACAAACTCAAATAAAGTACAAACACTTACAGGCCCGATCAACCATGCAACCAGGATGTTGATTAATAGATGTATTCAAACAAATATCCGTTAGTTAAGTTCATCAACAATAAAGAGATAAAACTAACCTTTTGTACACGTGACTGTAAATCAGTAACATTTTTCTTAAGGCCTTCAGCTATTGCATTCGTTCTATCTAGAACGTCCTTCAGATCCTCTTTTTCACGGCGTATTATATGGAGTTCTTTCTCCATCTTTTTCTTTACCGACTCGACTGGAACAAATGACATAATTATCAAATTCATTTATGGCATATTTATACGTGTCTTCTAAAAATAATTGATAATCGAAGCACTAAAAGAAGTGTTATAGACAAGCCCTGACATTTTTATGCAAGAACTAATATGTCTTTCTGATTTAAGTAGTTTTGCTTATTTAATAGGAAGACGCTTAGCTTTTAACTCATCCTGATGTAACATCGATGGTAAACATAATTCAAAAGATGAATTGAATTGTGTTACGCTCTTTTTACTAGTGATTACAAAGCTTGCCTTTTTTCTTTTCTATAAACTATAATTTCCAAATTTGAATATATATTTAATTACCAATTATCGTTTCAAGGTGCATGAACAACAATTATATAATAACATTGAATTTCTTTTGTAGTTTTGTCTCATTTAATGGGTTGACGCTTAGCTTATTACACAGTCATCCTGATGTAAAATCGATTGTAAACATTAAGATGAATTGAATTGTGTTATGCTCTTTTTACTAGTAATTACAAAGCTTGCCTTCTCTCTTTTCTATAAACTATAATTTCCGAATTTGAATATATATTTAATTACTAATTATTTTTCCATGATGCATGAACGATAATTATGTAATAGCATTGAAAGAAATAGTTTTCAAATATGACATTGTCTTTTCTTTACAACTAGAGTAATCGACTGAATGAACAGTCGCAAAATACAATTTTATGTGTAAAATGACGACATTATGATATCATTTGTCGTTACTTATTTCTCTTACTTTGTCTTATCTGGTCTGTTTCTCCAGTTAACAAACGTCCTAAACATTTGATATCTTCTTTCAGTTCTTCGACATCTAAAGATCGCTCGTATCTAGCTGTTTTTTCCTTTCCATTTTCTGAAAGTTCCTTCATGTTACTTGACATCCTTCCCATTGCTGCTTGCGTGTATTTCATGAAAATAAAAGCTTCACAGATTTGATGACCTTGTTCTAATGTTTGTAATCTTGCTTTCCGATTTGTCAATTTTGTTTGCATAATACTCACTTCTTTCAACAACGTTTTAAATACTTTTTTATCTGCGTCCTGTTTTCCAACAATTTCGGTTTTTATTTTATCATAAAGTTTTTCGAAGAAGGTGACAATCTGATCTTTTTGTCGCTCAAGGTCATTACATGCTGTTTTGTTCATTTCATCGGACATTTGAAAATTTTGGTCAATCTTGACATACAATTTTGTTTGCTCTTCAATCATATCATCTATCATTTTCGCAAATTCTTGTATTTCTACAGATGTATCAGATTTCTTCACTTCGTCCGGGATATACCTGACACCATCACATGATCGATGGTCTACCGTCATGCAAACGTTACATCCGATCTTATCACAGGTCTTACAAATATATTCTGTTACTTTATCCGCGTGAACATGACACTTCGATGTACAAACATATTTCGATACAGTATGTTTTGGATCCAAAGGCATGCTGTTTTTATCTTGTAGAACATGTTGCTCAAATTGTTTAAAACGCTTGTGATGATTAAAACACTGTCCGCATAAGTATTCAGAACAGCCAACACAAAACCCTTCTGCTGTTGTTTTCTGTTGAGCTTTTCCACAAGGCTCACAGAAGATTTCACGAAATTCGTCAGAACCCTCCATTGTATTAACGATATCACACTGAAAAGTCAATAAAACAAATCAATAAAAAAGCGATTAGTCTTAAGAATTTAACTGACGTTGACAGATAATCGAAGGTCATTTGTATAAAACTTCCCAATCCACCTACTTTCGGTTTCGATAAGGGTTATGTATAAAACACTATATTTATTTCCTAATAAAACAGAAGGAAAACACGGAACGCGATATTCTCAACTATAATATAGGCAGGGCTAGGACGCTCTCAATTGTTTGCACATTCGAGCTCGACACATCATCAGCTCTATTTATTATGCTAGCGGGACTTACATGTTTATAACCATTATATCATTATCAGACGGCAAAATAATAAAAATGTTATCGTGTTTGACATATACTCCGGAACTAGGCAAATGTGTATTATGTCAAATCGAATCCCGACATACGTTTACAACAGTAAATATAACAATAACACGATCGATGCTTCAATAACTAACTCTATTGCTAACAGTAGTGCACTGTGGAGGTATTCTAGTAATTTGTAAAAAATATAATTACTGAAATGTTTTGTCATGATTTATAATTAGATGTGCTGATAATTAATTCAGTAAAGATTTTAGAAAATACAAATTATACTGTATATATTTCCGGAAGTATTCATTATTTATATGAGCAACAGATGTTTGCAACAAGCTTGCACCAACTGTCAACACATTATATGTTTAAGGCCAGTCCGAAAAATATATGTTCACCTCATGACAGTTTAGTAGAGTTAAAGTGTTGGTAGGTAAGAATGTAGGTACGTTAAATATACCAGGATTTTTTTTTATTGAAAATACATAATGTATTTCTATCTGGATTATGAGAGTTTCAAAAGAGAATTTCTGGATGTTTAAACATTTTAAAGTTTCATACAACATATATCCAAGTTTTTACATTAACAAAGCAAAAAAATGACACAGACATGAAGATGTGATTCTCATTATCCGACATATTTGTGCAGTTAAACAAGTTTTGTTATGCTTAAGCCGGTGCTTAGGGGCGGTAATTTGCACTTTCTAATAAACATACAAATACAAATACAAGACATTTATATAGCGCAAAAATATATTAAATATTCGATTGCGCTGTACAGTATTAAGACTATATACACATATGCTTGATCAAGACACTCCCAAACCCAGTCTCGATGGCACAGTCAATCTACAACTCTAGTTGAAAAACAGTCCAAACAAGTATGTTTTAAGTTTGGCCTTAAACTGATTTTCATTGGTAATGTCCTTCAGATAGTCTGGCAATGAATTCCACAATTTAGGTCCCTCAATAGCCAAAGATCTATCAGCAAGTTTTGAATTTGTTGATGGTATATCAAACTGAGTGTGGCTAGATGATGAGGATCTCAGTCTTTTCCTGTACTGACTCTGGCATTTAGTGAACAATTCACGAAGTGCCATTTGCAACACGAAACACAGTCACAATAACTTTGTACATGATTCTTGCTCGAATTGGAAGTCAGTGGAGTGATTTAAGCATTTCAGCACTCGATTGATAGTAAGTACCCAGCCAACATCCTATGTCGGCCCGACATCAAACCGACATGGTTTTCTATGACGGCCCGATGTCGGCTTTAACCTCGGCTGCAAATATGAATGATGTTGGTCCGACATCGGCAGCACAATATCGGGCCGATATCTTAACGATATAGGCCCGATATTTCTTGCCGACATCGGGCCTACATCAAAACAATAGCGGTGCGATGCCAGCAAACAGTAGATATATCGACCAGGTATAATTCTTATGCTAGCATGTTGATGACATCTAGCAACAAGCATTTGGCATCTCCTGCAAACACACAAAATAAAAGATAAATATTTTACAAAATATAAGATAATAAAGGCGAATATTTAACTTTAATCACTACAATGATAATTCATGTCGCGAAATCATGTGTCAAATATTTTCAAACATAATTTTACATTTAAAAAAGAGACAAACAGATAATTTGTATTTTTCCAATAATTTTTAGTGTAAAAATCAAATTATTAACAGCGTTTACACATTTGTTGAATCATCATTACATTAAAAAAAACATGCATTTCATCACCTTCCTTTGTTAGCTTTTCTTTTTGGCGCTTAATCTGTTAATTGTAGGACTGCAGTGAATATTTGCAAGCTTTTCATTTAAAATATAATAAACGAGTGATTTTTATGTAGTCAAAACATAAATATTGAATTTAATTACAAACCACATATCATTTCCAAACTCAACTATGATTATTTAAGAAATTAATAACAAAATGTACAATTATTTTCTGCATGATAATCAATTTAACAGAAAACGCAATATCGTACCGACGTCAATCCGATATACAAAATAGTTGCATTGATAGGTCATGTAGGCCCGACGCAGACCCGATGTATCTTTTTTGATGTAACACGAAATGTGATTAGTGTGGTTCTAGTAATTGAAATCATACACAGGACAATTTATTCACATTATTAAGTAAACAATGCCATTTCATTTAGAATTTTTCATAATAATCAATATGTCGGTACTGCAGCGGCCCGACGTCGGCCAATAGTCGGCATATTTTGCCGACATACCGACATTAATCCTATATCGGCCCGATATGGTCATTATAGCTCCAGTGACAATTCTAGCAGCATGATTCTGCACACGTTGTAATTTATCAAGTTGGTAGGCTGGAATATCCGCGAATAATCCATTGCAAAAGTCTAAATGTGAATGAATCAAACCGTGAACAAGGATTTCTGCAGATTTCTGAGTGAGATGTTTTCTGATTGCTTTCAAATTTCTTAACTGCATGTGCGCAATCTGACACTTCTTTTGAATATGGATGTCAAAACTTAAAGTGCTGGTCATCTGTACTCCAAGGTCTCTCACATTGTCAACACAGTTGACTTCGACCCCACCAACATTGACACTGGAAATGTTCAATTTCTTCAGCTGATATCTTGTACCATCAATTATTATTTCTGTTTTGCTATTGTTCATTTTTAACTTAAATCTGGTCATCCATGACACAATATCATTAAGACAGTCAGTGAGTTTTTGGCGAACGATTTCTTCGCTGTGATGTTCACCAGCTCTAATTTTGAATGCCACTTTATGATCGTCTGCATATCCATACAATTCCGCCGGATATTTCTGGACTATTTTGTTAAGGGCAGCTATATAGAGAGTAAATATCACCGGTCCAGCACAAGAACCCTGGGGAATACTATCCATAAACAAGCTTGATCAACTGCACCATTTTCACATTTGTTGTTTTGGGCGTTTCTTTCTACTTTCTACTTTATTGTTTGATGCAAAGTAATGTTTTAGTAGGATGGAAGTGGGCACTTAAACAAGACTTATGTGAACTTCTTAACGTTAACGTTGTTAACATTTTCAGATCATAGTCAATTTTCCCATAAAATATATCGCGTCATCTTCTAGTCATTAATAGCTTCCCTATTAAACTTAGAACCTCTAGGACAAAGCATTGTTTACGTATTGGTCGGATATATTTTTGTTGTCATTCTTAAACTTTCTCTCTGGCCATAAAATTATAAGAGTTACAGTCATGATCCTTTACACCAACTCTTAGGACAGTAGAGCTACTCTAAATATCTAAATAGTGGTCGAATTAGTAGTTATATTGAACCCAGATCACCTGGGTTTTTTATATGTTTTATATTTTTGTTGTTGTATTATACATCGTACTAGCACAGTATACACGCCCGTTTAACTCACAACGAGTGAAAAATGTCCATCGGTAAAACTGTTGTGAGCAACTTCCGTTCCTCGTTTTGAGCACCCGTCTAGGACGTGTGACACGATAAACAAGGTGAGTTTTTCATAATTTTTGAAGATTACAGACATTTATGTAAAAATATTGGAATGCAGTTAGCTAGCGATGTGTTTTACGAGTATGCACATGTAAAGATATTGCCTGTTGGTCGACAATTTGATGGAAATACCGTGCGACGCAGTCACTCGGAGTAGCTGGAAAACTGGAAACAACTTCTCTCCGGACCAAATTTAACATTGAAAAACGTCGATTCTGGTGAAGTTTTGTGCATTCTAACCTAAAATAGATGCCCACAAGACTTCAGCGTAAATTATTACATGAAAGTCTTCATAGAAAGGAAGATATACCCTTTTTTGCTTTAATCCTCGTTGTGAGCACCATAACCTCGTTGTGAGCAAGACAAGCGCAGTGCGTGTCTGGTTTTAATATGTAATTCAAGTGGGGAGAATACAATTTTCAACCTACCAAAAGCAATCAAAACGTTTTTGCACAATAGTTTCTCTTTGCAATAGTTCTTCTTTGTCTACATAACTAGGCCAATCTAACATGAATAAAAATCAGGATAAATACATACATGTTTATATCACACAGACTGCCCTCTATGTTAACTCTGGCAACACGAAATATATGCAATTCAATACATAATTTACCTCCCCTTATTAGTTCACCACCATTTGCACACACAGCAAAACATCTGCAAAATTGTAGATATAAGTAGTTTTTTTTTGTTTACCATTATCTTTTAAGCTAAGAATATACTAGTGAAGTGCTAAGAGTTACAATACACAAAATAGGTAATCCTCTGCGAAAAACGATGGTCGCATAATAACAGATTCAAATAGTTCTCAGCGTTTGTTTGCTCTGTACACGAGCATTTTTCATGATTTTAGTTGCACTGTCTTTCATAGAAATCTCATGACAGTCTGTGTTTGACATTTAAATAGCATTTTCATCATGAAATAGTGGCATTTTAAGAAATCTTCTTGACTTCTTAGGTGTTTCACCACTGGTACAATTTTGGGTTAGCTAATTTTACAGTGTGTTTAACTGAAAAGAATGTTTGTGCAAGAGACATGACCAAAACTTTTCTTTTGATTTTTATGCATTACTGACAGTTTTTCTAGTAGTTCTAATCTTTTTCAGACCAGGGCAAGTACATACTTGATGCCTCGCTTCGGTCTCTCCTTGAACGACCCCATGTCCAATCACTGAAAAGAATAGTACTGCAGTTGGAAGGCCTTGTCCAAAAAGGTGTTGTGCCTAATTATGAATTAAATTGATTTACTAATAAGGACATTGTGGCCAATCTTAAATGCTTTTTGACAATTTGACCTTCAAGGTAAAGGCCATTC